GAGCAGGAGCTACTGGACAAACTCCAGGCCCTCAGACCACGCAAAGCCTGTGGCCAAGATGGAGTCAACAATGAGATGCTGAGACACAGCAGTTCAATCTCATCATGACAGCCCGATGTTTCCCCTAGACCTGTAACCAAGGACTGATCATACCCATCTATAAGAGTGGAGACAGACTCAATCCCAACAATTACCGGGGCATCTGTGTGAACAGTAATCTGGGGGTAGTATTCTGCAGTATCCTGAATACTGACCTTCCTTACCGAACACAATGTCCTGAGCAAGAGTCAGATTGGCTTTTTACCAGATCGCATTTACACCCTATGCACACTGACAAACATGCCCACCAAAAAGAAAGGAAGAATTTTCGCCTACTTTGTTGACTTCAAAAAAGCATTTGACTTGATTTGGCACGATTTGTTGTAGGCAACTTCAGCATCCATACCAATTCACAGTCATCCAGTTAAGATAAGAATGTTCTAGCTTTGTCAGAACGCTTTGAGCTAACCCAATTTGTATTTGGGCCACCTCGTAAAAGACACACCCTGGATTTACTGTAGCAATTGCAAATGACTTGTTTCTCAAGTGACTTGAACTGACCACTTAACTGTTCTCTTGGATCTTGAATTTCCCGTTTCACACTCCTCCCCCACCTCTCTCGCATGACAGTTCATTTACCACCCTCAACACCGTAGCTCCTCTTAAAACACAAACCATTTCCTTCTCTCGCTCTGCCCTATGGTACACTGACAAACTTTCTTCATTGAAGGCAGTTTCCCATAGATTTGAGTAAGTGTCACCTTTTCTGGCCTCAATGTACATTTTCAGGCTCAGAAGGAGCACTCGTCTGTATACAAGAATGCAATAGTCCACTAGATCCAGCTATTTCTCACATAACCCTAGAAACCTATCCACCATAAACCGATTGCTTAAACTAAACCGTCCCACCTCTTTAGCTGCCTCATCCCAACTTTACAGTACATTAAGTGTTCATTAGTTACAAAGCTTGACAAAAGCTATCATACTCTCTCCACGACCTCAAGCCCACACTTCCTCCCTGCTTGCTTAGAGAGAAGGGAACCAGTTTAACTTCTCTCCACTTGCCTCAGGAAACAGGTTTTGCAAATGAAATCCACCATCTGCCTGTTAGATCCCACCCTCAATGCTTTGTTTTAATCCTGCATCACCTCTTCCCCCATTGTCCCCAGTATGAGGAGTCCTTATAGGCTCTGGAAAATAGAGGGCAAAGGACTGTACCTCAAGACTCTGTGATAACATCATGTAAAAGTGAAGACTGGGATTTGTCCCGTTTTGTAGTGATGAAAAATGACATGGGGAAAAATGCACCTGCACAAGATAAATTGTTGCTATGTAACCGTTACCTTGTCTAAACTTAATGAGATGCATTTCCTATATACTGTTTTAAGTATATATATATTCATGTGATTCTCTGTATTTGTGAAAAGAAAATAAAGTTCTTAAAAATCAAAATCACGCTGGACAGCCTAAACAACTTACCCTGTCTTGAAGAAATTTAGAAACTGAGTAGTAACAGCATGTAACTATTTATCTCATTAGTTATAATGTATTTGAACCCCTCCAATCTGGTTTCCAACAACCTCACAGCACAAACCGCCCTGGTTATAGTTACCAACGATCTTATCGCTCCTGACTCTGGCTCTCTTTCCATCCTTATTCTCCTTGACCTCAGTGCTACTTGACATTTAACCATGATATCAGTCTCGATATCAAGACTGAGAAATTGTTTGGAGTTTCCGACACTGTTCTCACTGATCAGTCACTTTGTCTCTTGGCAGATTTAGCTCTGAAAGGGACTTAAGTCGAGTGTTCCCCAGGGCTCAATAGTGTGCCCCTCAACTATTCAACATTTGGATGTACCCCCTTGGTCAGCTATTAATTACATGGTCTGCATAAAAACATGGATGACTCAGAACTTCATTTAAAGTGTGATGAAACTGAAGTCATTATCAGCACACCCCATCAGTGATCTGTGGATGGTACTGTACTTGAGTATCTACGTAGCTTGGCAACTCTGTATCAGTACGACTTATCTTCCTACTTCCCACATAGCAACTTTCACTCATCCAATTCCTGGTTGTCTCCCAAGCTTGGTTGTCTTTTCGGGACAGTGCCTTATCTTATCTCACCCATAAACTCTATACCCAAGGACTGAGTTGCCTACCCTAAGCACATTGAAACCCAGATGCAAAACCTTCAGAAAGCCTTTTATTTTTGTTTAAAGAAATTGGCTTGCTGCTTCACTACAAATGACCCCAATCCAACTCCTTGTTTTGGTGGCACAGCATGATAGATTTCACTATCTAAAAAGGTTTCGGGAAAGACTCTGAACGTGGATCATCCCTTCTTGGTTATTAAAGGACGTATAGAATGCATACTGCTTTTTTAGGTATCTTTTCCACAAGATCCACACCTCTGTTGGTTTAGCCTTTGAGGGCAAGTTATGGGAATCTCCCTCCAGCGGAGAGCATTCATTCTTCTGCACGCATTTCTCCCTTACTAACGGGTGTCTGGAAAGTTAGCGGTGCCCTTCCAAACATCAATTCCAATAGTTCAACCCCAAAGGTTTAGCCCTGCATGAACTAGAATATAAGAATTAGAACTAAGGAATCCGACAGCTAGAAATAAGATTTTCTGACGGTCAACATTTAGACAGGGTGGGTCTTGATCACTTGTTCAAAACTTAGTACAAGTAACAGTCGTATGGACATAGATCAAACATTTAGTATCACACAAGATTAATCCTCAAGTTTCTGAAAGCAGGCATACAAGGAAAATGTCCTCAAACTAAGACGCCAATGAAAAGGAAACCAAAGATGGTTATTTCTGTGAATAATCAAATTATTTAATGATTATTCATAAAATTCTGCAGTTAGAAGCATTTCAGTTCAGCCAGAGGCTTCCCAACATACCCAGGAAATGCTGCAGGATGAGATCCAGGTTAAGACCAGATGCTCTTGCAGGGGCAGAAATCAAATCCATCCAATTATCAGTTGTGTTGGCATCTCAGCTCCTTCAGGACCACATCTCCCTGAAACTCATGCCAGAAGGTGGAGGGGGGTCACTTGACTTACTAGCTGGGCCACACGTCTGCCTGGTCTTTCATGACAGTCCTGCAAGGACAGACAGCAGTTTGCACATCCAGCTCTGAGCAGCAGAGACATCAAGCAAGGCTTACTGGGGGAGTCCAGGCCTCTGAAGTATTGCACTGTGCTCTGACTGTCTGGTCCAGCTCCAGTCCGTCATCCAGCCTCCCTCAGCTGGGCTTTCTGCCAGAACTGCTACAGCACCTCAGAGTCCACAAGTCCCAGCTCCACCAGTACAGTCAGAGCTGCTCCCAGGAACCAGCAGTCCACCCTGCTGCAGTCCAGGAAGACCTTCCCACTGCTACTGGCTCCACACAGGAGTGTCTTCAGTGTGGACAGCTTCCACCCCACTTCAGCCACAGGCTCACTCTACCCACAGTCACCCAGGACTCTGGGGAGGAACCAACCTTGACCATTGTTGAAACAGCAGCACAATGCCTCCCCACCTTCTCTGAACACAGCAGCAGACCAGCCTGAGGAGGCCCACGTGTTGGCCTTCAATACTGAAAGCTCTTTCCCCTTGTTGCAGCCAACAGGGACTCTTAAAGGAGAATGTTCCCTATTGAAACACTTTCAAACAGTAACTTTACAAATAATCTTCCCCAACAAAAAACAGAATAAAAAACAGTTTTTATTTTATTTTCCTAAAACTGCTTGTTGTTAACACAAGTTTTATCACGGTATTTATTTACACACATGGTTGAGAAGGACAATTTGAGGAGAGCAGTTCTCCTTTGCACCACAAGGGGGTGATGTGAAGCCAGTGCCTGACAAAGTTCCTTCTTCCTCAGCTATGTCCTTGGCCCTGATCCAGAGTGTGGTTTTGTCTCATACTGTAGGTGGGTGATGTTCAGCTGCAGCATTAAACTATCAAGTAAACTCATTATTAAATTATTTACTGGTCCGTTTTGCTGCCTGCCCTGCTATCAGATTTCTGGCTTCCTGCTGGAAGTGGGATTCTCCACAGTAATTCCACAATCCCCTACATATTGCTAAAGCTTATGTCCAACATTCCCAACAAACAGCATTTGGTGGCTTTGAAGTAGGGTCAGGTTTCGAATTCCCCCAAAACATAGCAGACAATTTATCAATTAATCTTACAATCTTGCAATCTTCAATTAATGTTGCAGATCCACTGTTACTGGGATAAAGAAACAAAGCATGAGTCTGGTTTTGCTCTCCGCACTGTGTTGCTAGAAGAGGTTTCATTAGGATTAATGACAAAAGATCTCCAAGAACTTTCCCTCTTCCAGATGAGGTACAGAAGAAATAAAGAGGCCAACAATATATTAGGATATATACCCTTAGAAATGAATAACATTCTAGTATGGCTTAAGTTAGAATATTATTTATAGTTTGTATCAACATTTTACAGACAAAGTAAGAAACAATGCTCAATGGAGTGTTCTATACTGACAAGCTGAAGGAGCTGAGTCTTTTTGGCCTTAAGGGAGTGTCCTTTAGAAAAGAGAAGACTCTAAGTGGACTTCACACAAGTATTCCAAATGTGAATGACACAACCTGTGTTTGGAACGATCTTCCGCTGTCAAACAACATCCAAGAGGTGGATTCTCTTATCTTTGACCTTAGCTCTCATCTTATCTGGAAGTCACACACCGACAAAAAAGGAACATCTCCATGGTTCACTGTCTTTCTCTTTCCGAGACTCACCCACTCCCCTGAATCTGCCACACATCAAGAAGGAGGCTCACAAAGGTGTACTGTACAGTACATAGGTTCTCAAAGTCACTTCAAATCGCAAACACGTTTCAGTTTCTAATCTGGACATATTTAGCAAGCTAATCACATCTTAAAAGATTAGGTTGGTTGGAGGAGGGGGGTAATTGGGGGGGTTGACAGAGAGAAGGGAGACACCAGTGGTCATTCACATCTTTCCAGCTGAAGAAGGCAGAGACTTAGAAGATAGAGTAACTTTTACTTTTGTCTCTCTGTCTGCTTACCGTCTGTCTGAGGTGAGTAGCAGGCTTTCTGATTCGACTGGCTCTCTTCTTGTCTCAGGTTCTCTGTGTGTCTCTCTGTGTGTAACTGCGTGTCTGTTCATCAGTGTGTGACCCTGTGTCTCTGTCTGTGTGTTTCTCTGTTGGTGTGTCCATTTCTCTGTGTGTGTCTGTTTCTGTGTATATGTGTGTTTGTGTCTCTGTGTGTTTTTCAGTCTCCCCTTGTCCCTATTCAGTTTGAATTTAAAAATATTTTCCTCTGGTTCTGTCTTTATTTCTTCTGTTTGTCTTTCTCCCTTCTGTTACAGAGAGTAGCAAGATCTTTCCCTATTAACTCTTTTTTCTATATACTGTATGAGGAAAATATTGTACATTTTGATCTTATAACACTTCAGCACAGAATGATGGAAGTATATCAGGCTGATACCAGTGAATTCTGCTCAATGTTGACTCCTTAGTGGATGGGACAGTAGAGGAGGCAGGTACATACAGCACACACTGTCTCCACCTGTCTGAGCTGTGCTGCTGAAGATACATTGTCCTTGTCTCTCTGCAGGGACTCTGAAGCAAGGACTGCATCCTAGCACTCCAGCAAGCCCAACTGCACTAACAGCTGAATCGGACTGATAACCGGTAGCGCTCTCGCACAGACGCTGAGATAGTCTCTGATGCTGCTGTGTGCAAGGATCCACATTATTACTGCAACCTGACAGGATCACTCCCACTGACAACTCACCACGCAATGTCACAGAAGGAGAAACCTTCCCGCAAGAAGGCAGAAAAGGAAAGACTACCCTCCACAGACAGGTCAGAGAATTTCTTATAATAATAACACTAATAGAGACTTTTTCTGGACACTCCACTCAAAGTGCTTTAAAGGTAATGGGGACTCCCCTCCACCACCACCACCAACCAATGTGTAGCCATAGTGCGCCAGAACACTCCCCACACACCAGCTCTCAGTGAGGAGGAGAGCAAAGTGATGAAGCCAATTCATAGATGGGGATTATTAGGAGGCCATGATTGGTAAGAGCCAATGGGACATTTGTCCAGGACACCGGGGTTACACCCCTACTCTTTTCAAGAAACACCCTGGGATTTTTAATGACCACAGAGATTCAGGACCTCGGTTTTACGTCTCATCCGAAGGACATAGACCATTTACACTATAGTGTCCCCTTTGCCATACTGGGGCATTAGGACCCACACAGACTGCAGGGTGAGCACCCCCTGCTGGCCCCACTAACACCTCTTCCAACAGGAACCTTATCTTTCCCAGGAGGTCTCCCATCCAGGTACTGACCAGGCTCACACCTGCTGGGCTTCAGTGGGTAGCCAGTGGTGAGTTGCAGGGTGATGTGGCTAATTGTATTAACCACAGCTCCCCACCCTAGTGTCAGGGAACCTATTGGTAGAATAGGAGGATCCTTCTGCATGACCGTGAATCCCACAGAACGCAGAGTAGCAAAGGGACAATCCAAAAGACAAAATCCAAACGCTTGGTCGAAAAGGGAGGCAAAGGGTCCAGTAACGAGAGATATCCAAAAGACAATCCAAAAGACAAAATCCAAAAGGTGTGGTCAAAAGGTGGGAGCAAAGAGTTAGTAACGGGAGATCAGTCAAAAGGCTTGGAAACACACACAGGAGAATACTACAAGAGGCTTCTCAATAGTGACTAAGGATTGGTGTGAGGGAACCTTAAATACTGAAAGGAAAGGGATGTAGGAGAGACACAATTGGTTTGAATTTGAGAATTTGTGGAATCTGGTGCCTGTGGGAATGTGATGGGTTCAATTAGGAATGAGATTGTGAAACAGTGGGTTTGGGAATGCAACGCCGTTTGCGAGGGAGAGTGTGGGGCGTGACCACCTAGTCCCGTCAATAGTTTTCAGTTTTGGGGAGTAGCTAACTGAAAATAACAATCAACATTATTGGCTTTGCAGTAGTGAATTGGTTGTGTTTCACAGTGGTTAGCTGCACCTACAGAAACTTTGCAAAGCTATATTTTAGTGGAATACTGTATGTACAGCTGCACTGTTCTCATACTGTTTCTCTGGACCAGTGCGATTCTGAAAAACGTAAGGATTTTAGAAATCCCAAGACGTTCCTCTCCAGATTAATATCTATAGCTCAATCCTTCTTCTTTCGCTCTGCATTAATCACACAATGCCTATCATTCCAAAAGTCCAATGCTAAATAGGAGCAGAAAGTTTCTTTTCTGGCTATTTTCCTCTGGGAACGGGTCCTGTCTCAGTCTAGAGTGAACGAATGAACAAATGAACGAATGAATGAATGAATGAATGAATAATGTAGTGATGGCATGAAGGTCATCTGCTTGCTGTCATCGTTGTGCAGTTTGGTAACTGCGGTGAGCTCCACTGCATCAGAGGCAGTGGGGCTGTTTGATTTTGAACTGGTAGCATTGTTGTACCTCCAGGCCGGTGCACACCAAGCTGAGAGGGCAGGCTGAGAGTGGCTCACAGATCAGACCTCTGTTCCTGCACAGGTGCTACTGAACACTTCAGGACCTCTGGGCGTCGGTGTGGAATTGCAAGGGATATTTTATCTCAGGTGGCACTAAATCAGCAGGATTCTAATGCTCGTGATTTCTGCCTGAAGCAAAACCAAAGGACTAAAAACTGGGACACATTTACTGTTTCCAGGGCTGTGTGTGTTTTTGCACTGGCTCCTGTGTCATTAATTTTGTGTGCAATACAGCTGAGCTAATCACCCCCGTCAGCACTATTTCACTGATTTCCTTCAGCACTAAAATAAGAGCCACCAGAGCACTGCTGGCTCTGCATTGAGTCCCTGCCTCCTCGGGAAAGGGATTAACAGCTGCCTGCTCAGCCTCCGGAGTCACAGGGGGCATCCTAGTCCGACTGGATCTGGGAGGAGTAACAAACTAGCTGTCAGAACCTGTCCCATAGTGTGAGAAAGACAGAGGACAATCATGGATGTCAATAACAACTCAAACACACACTATAGGGACACCAGTGGCCTGCTGTGTTTATACAGTGATTGAAAGACTGAAAAGGTCTCCATCAGTCATGTCTTTATTTCAGACTTTATTTACATAGGCGAAAAGAATACCTACAGTAGATCAGCGTCTGCGCTGTTTCCTCAGCAGCCAGCTGTTGTTTAAAGTGCCTTTACATACATGCAGACATTGTTACAAATTGCAACTGGCAGAATTATTGGAGACAACTCCAGCTTTCCCCACCAGCATTTTCAGTGCATCAGACTCCAGTTCTCGATATTTCCTGTAATAGTGAGGGGTTTGCGTGGACTGCCTGCGCACCGGCAGGGCGCTTCTGTTCCTGAGCCAGGGAGCGAGCCAGCGTGCCGGTGTGTAGTCGTGTCGTTAGGCGAGTCTCCTCCGCTATATACTGTACAAAGACGAGTCTTTCCACGAAAGGGAAGAGTAACATGTTGTTCAGTAGTCGTTCCGCTACCACGCCGGTTCACAGCTTGAACCCCGTCCGCGCTGTCGTGGGGATCTTAAAGAGCAAACCTGGTGAGCCTCAGGTGCTGTAGCTGCGCGGAGTAGGGAGGGCGCTAACAGGCACCTTGTCTTTCCCCTGCTACGTCAGTGTGCCCCCCGGCCCGCGGGACCCCCCTCCCCCGGAGGCCGCCCCCCTGAAACCAGCCCTGCGGCGCGGCTCCTCCGTCTCTCAGCGAGGCAGCCCCGGGGACGCCCCCCCGCTGCGGCGCGGCTCCTCCTCGGACAGCCAGACCCCCAGGAACCGCGGCAAGAGGGACAGCGAGGTCTCCATGACAACCAAGATGTACTCCCCTTTCCTGAACGCGCTGTTTGGACAGGTACTGTAGGCCTGACACGTACAGATTCGTGTTTTAGCAGGAGAGACGCTACTGTCTGAAGTTTCAAACGGACTTCAGAGCTCTCCTGGTCATCTCTACAGCACTGCGTGGCCCAGCTGCTAGTTATCTAATGGACTTATTTCATCAGTATAGTCTTTTTATTCATCTGTGCTCTGATGATATAAACTTTTGACCCACTCTGATGACACATTGTGGTGATCCAGTCTGCTCACTCTGTGAAGACCAGACTCCACACAACATTTTACAGCATTGCTCAGTCATAACTCAATCCAGTATCATAAGATTAAAAACAGACAATTAGCTGTGAGAGTATCTAAAACAACAACAATGATAATAATATTCCTTCCTCCAAACAAGCTTTTTGTTGTTTAACACCTAAATGCTTTGATGGCAAAAAGGAAGTAAATGCTCTCTTAGTCCTTATACAGAGGATCTGGTACTCCTTCCAGAGGGTAGAAGAGTATATTCTAAAATGCGTGAATGAGAGAGGTTATGCAGATTTTATGTTCCAGATTAATACCATTTCTAATTAAATGTAAAAGTATGAAGCTGATTTGAGAATAGCAACTCCAGCAGTTGCAGAAGAGATACTGGTCACCAGTCACCTATCGCAGCTGAGACCCAGACTCGTTACTGTAAAAGTGATCAGCCTGACACGCAGACCGACACAAACAGAGGCACACAGGGTGCTCACTGGTATCTAGGACCACATGATCTCTTCTCGTTAGCATGTTAGATAACAGCCACTGAATGAAGAAGTTAAATCCCACCTTCTCCCCTTCGATCCACCTCTGTTTCTCTCTCTCTTCCTCTGATCTCTCAGCTCAATAATCCAGTCTTACTCCAGAATAAATAGCTCGTTACAGAGGCTGACTGCCAGGCCTCATTAGCAGTAATGAGGGCGAGTGATCTATAGAGGCACGCAGGAAGAGGAAAGCTGTGTGCAGGAGAGAAACCACTCATCTTTCGGAGAACTGCACAACATGTTTAAATTCTTTCATTTTATGATGCTTTATAACTCTTTTATTCATTAAAGCCACAAACAAATACAAAAATTACAACAAACTGTGTATGTCTATGTCAGTGTGCATATCCATGTCAGTGTGAGTTTGTGTCAGTGTGTGTGTCTGTGTGTGTGTGTCAATGTGAGTGTGTGTGTGTAAGTGTGAATTTGTGTGTCAGTGTGAGTGTGTGTGTGTGTATTCTTGTCAGTGTGAGTGTTAGTATATGTGTTCATGCAAGTGTGAGAGTGTGTCTGTGTCAGTGTGGGTGTGTATGTCCATGTCAGTGTGAGTATGTCAGTGTGTGTGTGTGTCCATGTCAGTGTGAGTATTCTTGTCAGTGTGAATGTGTTGGTATATGTGTTCATGTCTGTGTGAGTGTCTGTGTTAGTGTGGCTTTGTCAGTGTGTGTCCATGTCAATATGTATTTTTCCATGTTTGTCTTACTAGAACTCTAATCCGATTAAAAAGGCAGAAATCCACTTTAACGGCTCTTCATTCCTTGTGGACACAAATGTGTCCAACACGAAATCCCTTAATTTACCCAGAAATCAAGCAGTGGCTGTTATCTAGCTTTGCAGCCCGGTCAGTGACCTGACGTTCTGGGGCAGGGGTGCTGACTCATTATCTGTACGAGTGACATCATCGGCCCTCTCGGCTTATTGCATTAGAAAGACACACAGTCTCCTGGCATCAGACACACATCCGAACCTCTAATACCTAAATCTGCACTGCACGCTTCTTCACCCTGCTCCTGTTAACTCTTAGAAATGATGATCAAATGTGGCCTTTTTGTGCTTTTGCAATAACGATGCTCTGTTCTATTAACTGCTTCCCAGTGGAAAATAACTTGTCTCTCTTTTCTTTCCTGTCTGGTTGTCTCAGGAGAGAGACCTGGTGCCTGAGGAGATAGACGGTAAGATTAATGCGGCTGTTCAAGCTGTCTCCGTGCTCCGCGAATTGGGAAGTAAAATTCACGAGAAGACAGCAGATCTGCAAGGGCCAAACTCACCAGGGGGAGGAGACACACACAAATATCTTTACAAGTTTGCTAAGATATTAAAGGGGGAATTGCAGAGTTATTTTTACATCTCGGGGGTTATAATGAATCTGCAATGATGAGTGCATTTCAGTCCAGAATGAAACATACAGTATACAGCCGTCAAGTTACATCACAAAAAAGAGAAAAGGCTTCAATGTACGCATAGAGCCATATTGTCGTTGTCCAGATCGAGGCACCACAACCTCTGGTGACTCACAAGTAGCCTTATTAAATTGTAAACTAGCTTTACACCAATTCTGCTGCTGTATTCAGTTGAAATATTTTCACGAAACTGACACAGACCAGGCAACATGTTTTTACTTTATCGATACTTTGTCGAAGTATTGCAAAAAAAGAGCAACCTGCCAATCAACTAAAATACACATATATTCATGTCTCAGGTTTTTCAAAAGTGCTCTATTATTTACATGGGTGGCTATTTTATGGTAAATCACTCCTAAAAGAAAACTCAGAGCAGGACTTATATTTCTGGAGGGTGTGCTGCATCACTGCCAGTGCCAGCACCTGAACAGCTGGTTTGAATAAGTGCAATCGTACTGAATTCAACATTGACCTCGAAACGGTTTTGTCGACAAATACGACTCGCTTGTTAACTCTCCACGCAGATTGGATCGCGTTCAAACATTTCTGGGATGAAATATCTGCTGCACAACCTGTTGTTATTTGATCATGCATCGCGGTGAGTCTCGGCAAGAGACTTGTCGATGGGGCCAGCATCAGTGCCCGTGTTTATCACCCATCTCTTGGTTATCTGACCATCCTGTAGAAAAGGAAACCGTTGGACTTCTGCTGATCCAGTCCTCTGTCTTGAGCTATGTTCAAAACAGCCAAATACTTGACATTATTTAAAATATATACAGGAGTTCAGAAAGACACAAAAGGATAAACATTAGGAGACCACGTTTCTCGTCCACTAACAGAGACTGGTGAGTAGAAAGAGCCACTTTTACGTCACAATTCATGTGAACTCTCGTCGGTTTCGAGACCAGCAGTTTCTCCACTGCCAGCAACAACATGGCGTCCATACGGTACTTTCACAAAATTTATGATTTTGCACAGGGAACTGGCCAGGGCTCAGAGGAGACTGTATTTCCAGACAGACCTCAGGGAACTGGCCAGGGCTCAGAGGAGACTGTAGCTCCAGACCGTTGCTCTCAGTTGCTGGTTGGGGGATAAGCTGTGACTGTGTCCCTCCCTCCTCAGAGCTCAGCGAAGCATTCAGGGAGTTCGACACAGACTGTGATGGGTACCTGAGCTACAAGGACCTGGGCGACTGCATGCGGACCATGGGCTACATGCCCACTGAGATGGAGCTGATCGAGATCAGCCAGCAGATCAAGATGAGACGTCAGTGTTTGCTGCTACATAACCTTGTCTCTGTCTCTGTGTCTATACCCGTCTCTGTCGCTGTGCATCTGTCTCTGTCTATACCTGGTGTCTCTGCAGTGGGTGGATTGTGCTGTGTCACAGACATGACCTGTACCTGCTGTCTCTTCAGTGGGCGGGCGGATTGACTTTGAGGATTTCTGTGATCTGATGGGGCCCAGGATGCTGGCTGAGACGGCTCACATGGTTGGGGTTCGAGAGCTGAGGTGCGCCTTCAAGGAGGTTTGTACGTTTTGCCTAATGATTCACAATGATGTTGTCT